AAAAAAAAAAAAAATTGAATTGAGTTTTACCTATATAACATAAAATACAATAATTTAGGATATATTTTGTTGTATTTTTTTTTAAATAAGAAATATTTACATATAATTTTTGTCTTATAAAATAATTATTTTAGAGATGATAAAATTGGAAGAAAAAAATAATAAAAAGGGTAAAAAAATCAACAATTTGATGACTTGAGAAATATGACCCAAAGTACCCATTTGGCCCCATTATTCCTCATTATAAGGAGAGAAATAGTAATATTTTGGGGGAATGTTTGATTAAGAGGGTGTTTGACACCCATTTTTTGAAGTATAGAATTTGTAGAATAGTGATTGATGAGAGAATGTGGTGAAAAAGTTATGAAAAGTTTTAAATTTGTATGTAATATTATTTTATTGGGAGAATGTGTGGTTGAAATGAAGAAAGAAAAAAATGAGAATGAGTGCCAAACAGGAGCTAAAAGAGAAGGAAAATTTTTTGGATTTATGTGTAATATTATTTTATTAGAAAATGTATGATTAATAAAAAAAAGAGAAAAATGAATTATAAGTTAATGATGACTAAATGGGGGCTAAAAATCACTTAAACCAGTGTGAAAAAAACTATATATATATAAAAAAAGGAATACTTCCAACATCTCTTATAAATTACACCACCAAAAGGGTGAAAACCAGTAAGTAAAAAAAACAAAAAACAAAAAACTTCGAAGCGGGCCCTAATAGAATTCTCATTTGCCTTAAAAATTATAATTCAAAGTGGGAATTTAAAATAAATGAAATTAAAAAGTTTAAACGTGTCAAAATCGAATTGGGGAATGTTGGGCTTCTCTCTCGCGCCGTCTTTTTTGAAACCTCCTCCTCCTCTCTTGCTTCACTCTCAGACCCCTTCCCTCTTCTTGGATCTGTTGCACCTCTTCAAACAGTAAGTTCCGTCTGGTTCCCGCATTCTAATTCTCTATATATCTGTTTTCATTTTTCGTTCTTGTAATTCATCAAACTGGGTAACTTAAAAATGTATTCCGTTTATGTCACAACTTCAGGTCGAATTTTGAAATTAATATGAGGTAAATGTGGATTTTTGATACTTTCTTACAGATAATTGAGGTCAATTGTGTTTCAAAAGGTTTCGCTTTGTAAATTACTATTTAGTTTTTTGCACGTGTAGTTTTAGCTCTGTTTTATTTTTTTTCCTTTTTGAATTTAAATGCTTTTTAGTCTAATAGTAAATATGCTAAATCGGTAATTCTTGCTTGATTTTTATTTATAATTTGATGTGAGGAATTGACCTCAATTATCCATTTTAGTTATTAAACTGGGTTCCTTAATTAGCGAATTACAGAAAAGATAATATTTAAGTAAATGGGCGACTACTTTTTCCATTTTAGTTATTAAATTTATCCACTCCTATAATTTTGAGCCTTCTAGAACTTGATCTTCAGTTTAACCTTTCTAATTTTCTATTAGATGTGTTTTAATTTGTAGCTTCCTTTCTTGGACAGTCTAGTGGAATTCCCTTGAAGTTGGGTTAGTTCGGATGACTTCCAAAATGAACAATACGGCGCACAATGGCAACGGAGTTGGTGTTGGTGAAAATGGCAGTCCCGTTTATGATAAGCAATTGCCCGACACCCAAAACAAGACGGCATTGAGAGAGATACAGAATGGAAATGTAGGATCAATTCAGAAGCAGCAAGAGAGCTTGCTATTTGGAGGAGGAAGATCAAATGGTGATGCAATTAAGTTCTCTGGGACAAAGCAAATGACACCCGATTTCCTGTCAGGTTTGCCTGGTCATCTGTCCCTGGCCTATAATGGTGAAAATGAGAATGTCAAGAATGCTCGTTTAAGGTTTCAATTAGAACTAGACAGGGGAAGGCAACAGAAAATGGATATATATACTGATAATCCCAAGTCAAGAAATATGTACCAATTGCCACAGGATATCTCCCAAAAGCAAACTCAGATAAGGGAAACTCATATTCATCAGGTTCCTGTCACTAATTCAAATCATGGGACACCAGAGATAACATTTATAAGTGGTGGATCATCAGTTCCCGGTTTTCATGGTAAGCAAAGCAACAGCTCACAAATTGATTCTATGAGCGCCAATGATCAGCTAAGAACAGAACAATTCATTCGCCTGCATAAGATTCTCAAGCAATGCGATGAGGGTAAACAAATAGAGTACATAAGAAGTGAGTCCTTGCCTTCCTATAAATTGTTGAATTATATTTCTGTATTCAATGGTTTGATGGTTTCCTTGCTGCTTGTCTGATGCAATTTATATCAGCGCTTTTGCAGTTATCCCCCACCCAACTTAGTAAGCACGCTGTGGAGTTGGAGAAAAGAACAATTCATTTGTCAATAGAGGAAGGTAAATGTGATATAGTGATTTTTAGGCTTTTTTTTTCCCCCATGCATAATTTGCTCATGGAAATATCTTGTATGATATCAGATTATCAAAATTTTCTAAAAACTATGTATTACACAATGGCAGATTGGAAATCGGTTTTGAAAATTACTAGTTTTTTCGAAACTTTTGTTACGTAGTGCTTATTCGCTTAATATTCCGTATTTATCTCATATAGCAGACGGGGATGCCTTTGAATATAATTACATTTTAGACCTGCAGGATTGGTTTTTACTCAATTTTTTTTTTTTCAGTTTATAGTTGCTTGAATTGAAAGATTACGAGCCTTAATCTCCACAGTACTGGCAATTAATTTTACAGTGATACCAGAGAGATGGGAATGAGAAAATGGGTGCTAAAAGAGATAATTGAGTTCATGGAGATTGCATGATATCTTGCTTTTGATATACTCATGAGAAGGAAGAATTTGCTGTTATTATCCCATCTAATTTTGAAATTCTAGTAGTATAAATTTACACGATCAGTTTTAAAAGAAACATCCATATGCATCAGCTTTTTGAGAAAATATGTATCTTATCAAGTACCTCATTTTCATACATGTTTTGGACTTGCGTACCACTTTGTTTTCATGGTACTCTTCCACATGATTTACTGAATACTAAGGATGAATATTATGTATATGTATATGAATCAAATTAGGAATTGATTAGATGAAAACTGATTCGTCACATTTTATAAGATGTGGTCTAATAAGGTGAGTAATGTCTATGATTAACAAAAATGAAATTAATAAACCAGTAACAGTGGAAAACAGTCCCTTACTCGCATGAATTATTTGCAGTAAGGCTAGATGAGAAGAAAGAATTGAAGTGATGTGAAATGAGGTTCTGGCACACAATTTGCAAATTCAGTTGACCGTAAATAACATGGGATGAGATCACAAGACTTTGTTGGCCGAGTATGTAGTTTGGTTGATGTATGGAGGTTGAACGATATTTTTTAAGTTTTCTTTATATGCTCGTTCTCACTTTGAAGCCAAATTTATAGGACTCTCTTCATCGAAAGTTGAACAACTTATTTTGGCATTCATGATAAAAGGAATGTTTCATGCATCCAAATTTGTATAGATGAATTTACCTTTTCGGCAGACAAATTTTCGAATAATATTATTTGACTTAAATTTTCCCTCTATCTACGAATTTTCTTCAAAAATTTAAATGAATCATGAAATTAAGCACCAAACTCATCCATTTGATCACACTAGTGAAAGCTGCCAATTCATTGAGTCCTGGACATAGGTGTAATAGTTGTGGGTCAGTGACTGCAGGTGTTACCTCGGTCACCATTTACTACATGGGGTAATGCTTTAAACATATGTGCAAACTTCTGTTAATGCTTAATAGTAACCATCAACAGTTTATTCTAATGGTTGGTCAATTTTATGGAGTGAATCCTGAACTTGTTAGAGGTATGGATCATATTGAAGTCCCTGTAGTTCCCTGGCTGGGAAAAATGCTCATAACTGATCTTTATAATCACCCTTTTGGTTGTAATTTTACTCTTTTACTGCATAAATTTGTTAGATATAATATTTGTACATTGCCATACCAAATTAACACTGTATACTCAATACTTTTTCATTATTGCAGCAAAAGAAATGCAAAGGATGAAAGCACTGGATATTTTGGGGAAATCTGTCCTGGCGAAGAACTCGATTCAATCAACTCAATAGTTCCATTCCAACAAATGATCAGTGGGGAGCCATGGTTAAAAGTTGGTTCTGAACTGCCTTCTGAGATTTCTGTGTTCTTCGTTTGAGTTTGACGGATTCTGCTGTAACCAGTAGGTAGGATAGAATTTGGTTTCTTGATATGCTCTTTGGAAATTAATAAGATGTTTAGGAAATTAGCAGTTTTTACCAATTTCTCACTCTTCTTTTTCTTTTTAAACTAATGCATAGTGCATTATTGTTATTGATATTTCTCATAAGTTAAACTGGTTCGCATAGTGATGAACACTTTCTTGAACTTGGGGAGCTCCTATCTCTCCAAACGCATGTTTCTTGTAAACTAGCAACTCAATTCGAATAAAAAAAATTACATACTCCACAAATTTGTTTTCTATTTTAATTTTATATTAAAGGAACGGTGAGTTAGGTAGTCGAGTTTCCATTAATAGAAGTGACGGGATCATACTAGAACATTATAGAACATGGGAGTAGAATAAAAATATCTTAGCTTGTTGTGGTTGCTAAATATTCATTGTTTTGATTTGAATGTAGTAATAAAGAGTCGCAACCCCAATCTTTATGGGAACATAGTCTAGATTTTTTCATTGCAGTTGTATATATTCTTTCATAACTTCATTATTTTATGATTTGAATTGGATTGCTTACATTATGTGAAAACCATATTTCTATCAATGTTTTCCTAAGACTACATCTCATTTTTTCCATCTTCCTCGACCAAATTTGCTATGAGATATATGATTTCCTGAATTTGCTGTCATCTCAGTTCATTTTGGACATTTTCGCACATCATTTCTTCTTAGAGAATAGAAGACATCAAGGTGTAATGTGTCGACATGTCAAAAAATGTGTTGACGTCTTATAATTTGCTAAGAGGATGTGATTATCTCAGTATAAAAAATGCATTGAATTGGGACAGCAGATGTGGGCTCGTATTTATTGAGATTCCCTACTAGTTTTATGTTCACACATGTTGATTTTTTCTTTCCTATACCTTTGCAAAGATGAGGGCCAAATTGCAGAGATTTTGCTTGAAAATTTTATTTGTTATTGGTAAAAAACTTGTACACTTGGCAAACCGACTACCACATATTACGTTGTGTTCCATTTTTAGCCAAGCAAATCTATCATTTTCTACTGGTCATTTTCCTATTTTGTTTTCTTCGGAGTCCCAAGGAAAATCAAAATATTTTTTGATTTCCAAAATTGTTTAACGTTGAATCTATATCGTCAAATATATCAGTAATCTTAGAGATGGAAAGCAAGAGTAATGCATGGAAAAAAAGAGATTCCATACATAAATGAAAACTACTGCACAAGAAAATAACACTCGAAAGTAAAACGAAGCGAAACGAAACAATTAAGAAAAATGACTTTAGAAACAGGGTTACTAAGTAAAAGTAACGATTAATTTGTTTTGTTTTTTATTTATATATACTCTTGACCATAAGGAGTATGCAAACCAAAATATGAGAGTAGATCATTTGTACATTCTTCCATTGATATCATTGTTGATATTGCCTTTGTTTTCAAAAAATTGTAGACGGAAACTTTTTTTTTTTTTTTAAATTGGCGAATGGCATTTGCCACGTGGCAAACTGTCAAACTTGGTGTACACCAAAGTATACGTCAAGCATGAGTGGAGTAGATTAAAATCAACATGAAATTGTTAAATTTAGTGCTCGTTTGGTATGACTTTTTGAGAAATCAAAAGGAGGTTTTGAGATTCAAAAGTTGATTTGGACTAGTTTGAATAATTTTATGAAAGTGTTTCTTTTAATTAGAAAAGATTTTAAAGGAAGCTGATTGAATATGACTTCCTTTAGAAGTACTTATGAAAAAAACTCTTTTAAAAATTGGTTTCTAATAAAAAATAGACATTGCTATACGTATATCAATGTTTACATAATAATTAATATCACATGAAACTCTATCATTGTATAGTTTAAAATAAAGTCAAAATTTTTTTCCAGTTATTTCTGTCCAACTTATCTTCTGGTACTGCTTCGAGACCATTAGTTTCTAAATAAAGAGCATAGTTAAACGAAAAATTAAGATAATTTTCTCATGGAACGAAGGAAAAACTATATTAGACCGAACTTAATTTATCAAGAGCCAATTTTTAAACCATAATCAAGTAGCTTTTATGTTGAGACGTGTGTTGTGGCTCTTTTTATTTTATTTATTTTTGCAGAAGATAATAAAGTGGTCCACAAGCTTTATTTTTTTTACTTCTTTGAATTCAGTTATCTATACTTGTCATAGATTAAAATTCCACTTTTCATTTTGTAGAAGTTCTTGGTAATTAAAAATTAATGAAAATTAATATTCTGTTAAAAAATAATAATAACAAACAAAAATCTTTTGTGGGCCTATATCGCTGCCGTTGCGGCCCATACTGATCTTATAATCGCGTCAATTTGGAACTTTTCATTTCGAGCACACGGCTCAATGCAATTTGACACGTGGCATAAATATACTCGTACAAGTAAGTTGTTGCGAATCAGCTCAATATAAAAGTCCAAAAAATGGATACTGACCCCTCAATTCATTACTTCCTCATTTATAATATTTAAAACATTTTTATGTTAAAATTTGAAAAGACCCAAGAATTTAAAATTACTTCTCTCAATAATGTTGATATTTTAACATAAAAGTTCAATTTTTAATAGATATGATCCATGAGTTGACAAAAGCTTGTCGTAAATCATTGTCGGCCCCGTAATAACATGGTCAACGCGTTTCTATTTGTTTTCATACTGTGAATCGCCAAAATATAAAAATAAAATTTTGCATTCTTTGCTACAAGTTATACGATAATATTGACATTATCAACAGCGTCTTGTGAAAATGTTAGGGATACATACGAACCAGATCGATTTGGTTTAGATGAGGATCAATTAAAATTTTATAAATGAACTTCCTAGTTCCATATATCATTATGAAATATGACAAAATTTTGGTTCATTTTAAGTTTTTGGTTCGAGAGAATTATTTATATTTAAACGGAATCAAGCCAAATCGATTAATTTGATGATACTTTTGTCCATCCCTAGCTAATACATTTGGAACTTGAATGGAATAGTATTACATATAATTAAAAAAATAAAATAAAATCTTATTCATATACAACATTTTTATTAGGAAAAATAAAAAAAAAAATCTTAATATTCCTTAAAATTCGGCCAAAATAGAAATGCGAGCCATAAAAATGACCCCACTCGCTCTCTATAAATATATGAATCTCCTTTTTTCTGATCTTCACAAGCTCCCATTTCCTTTCTCCGACAACAAACCCAAATCTCTCTCTCTCTCTCTCGGTCGGTCGCTAGCTATGGATCCCTACAAGGTACTCGTTTATGATTTCTGTTCATAGATGAAGCTGTTTTGATCAGCTATTTAATTATCTATGAATGACAAGAATTCAATTCCAAATTATTGGTTTTAACGAAGAATCTGATGCTGTAGTACGAATCTTCTGTTTGGCTAAGTGGAAAGGCTTTGTTTGAGTCCCATTTTTTGAAAAAATAGATTATGTAATAGTGATGATTTTGGAGGATGTCCCGTTAAAAACTAGAAAAAAGTTTTGAGTTTATTTGAAAATTATTTTATTAGGGAAATGAGTTTGTGGAAAAATAAATTTTTAGAGAATGATGCTCAAGCAAGGTTTAATCTTTATTTAGGGCTTAATCTTTATTTATTTACGATTTTTTGAAAATTGATGGTGCAGTACCGTCCGTCCAGTGCTTTCAATTCGCCTTTCTGGACAACAAATTCTGGAGCTCCTGTTTGGAACAATAACTCATCTTTGACTGTCGGAACTAGAGGTAATTAATTCGATATTTCTTTCTTTCTTCTTCTTCTTTCCCTGTTTATGTATCTTACTTTGATAATAGAATAAGGTTTTGAGATGATAATTTAACATTGTTTATTTATCAATAGCTTTTTTTTTAATTGATTCTATCTTTATTATATATTTTACAATTACTTATAGGGGAAAGAGTTTAAATGATGTATTATTCTGTTAGAAAGGTTTTACAGCCAATTTGTGATACCTTTTTAAGTAACTAAAGAACTCTGTTTCGATTTTGTCGTAATAACAGTTACAAAGTTTTACTTAATTCAAAGTTGTATCGTTTTGGTGAATGTTTAGTCTAGTACATGTTAGTTCATCTTTAAAAATTTGATCAATCCAATACTGAATTGTTCGAATGCTTTAAATGTTGTTATACATGATGTTTGCACTGATCACTCATCATATTCCCTACTTTGGAGTTTACATCAATTGCTCTGATAGTTTTTCTCTAAGAAAGGAATCATATACAAACGACTTTTTTCCATCTTTTTCCCGGTTCCCCTTGTAACATCTGTAAATACCGTTTATCTTTACATGAATTTGTGTTCAGAAGATACCTAAGATTTGAGATGATTTCCTTTTTCCAAGTTCATATCTATAAACAGTTACAAGTGTGATCTGCAACTGATATACTCAACTGAAGGAACCCTTTATTTTCTATTTCTCTCTCTTACCCAAATGACCTTTTTTTTCTGCTGCATAGAAGAGAATCAAACAATCATTTTTTCTTCCGCTGCATAGAAGAGAACACTCTTTAAGAATCTTTTCTTTGGATCAGTATATGCAACATTCTATCAATATTTGTTTAATCAATGTACTACAGCTTTAAAATTTATAGATTTTTATATATTCAAATCTCCATTTGTAAAGTAAGTTGATTTTGTCTCGAGACTGAGACCAATAACTTGAAAATTGTCTTCTGTTTGGAAGGTCCGATTCTTCTTGAAGATTACCATCTGGTGGAGAAGCTTGCTAATTTCGATCGTGAGAGGATCCCAGAACGTGTTGTCCATGCCAGAGGTGCCAGTGCCAAGGGATTTTTTGAAGTGACACACGATATATCTCACCTTACCTGTGCTGATTTTCTTCGAGCTCCAGGAGTTCAGACACCTGTCATTGTTCGATTCTCCACTGTCATCCATGAGCGTGGAAGCCCTGAAACCCTCAGGGACCCCAGAGGCTTTGCTGTGAAATTTTACACCAGAGAGGTGAAGATCTTTAGTTAATTGTTTTGATTTCTGAACCTTCATTTTATGTCCGATGCCAGCAGATTTTGTCTTGGCATTAGATTGCATGGACTTCTAATATCAGTTAACTTCGATATGAATATTTATTGTATGCTTATCAATCTGGGCAGTAATATTTCTTTGACCATTTTTATTCAGAGGTAGAGTTTCTATTCAACAGAGTTCATTGACTATGAGCTCTATATTTTCCATGATTATTAGTTTCAACATTTTTGGTTTCCGGGAATCACAGTGGAACAGTTTGCTGAAGAAGGAAGTTGTGCCAACATGAATTTTTTTTTTTTTTTGTCATTCCAAAAACTAACAAAGACAAATTGTATATTTTGTCAATCACAGTTTTTCAGTGTTTTAAGTTCCCTTTGTTATTTATTTTCTGCGTTTTGTCTTCTTAAAAGGGCTAACATTATTCAAAGTTTCATTCGTTCTTGTAGTCTGTGCAGCTCTGAAGGAGTAAGCGGTAAAGAAGATGTTAATTAGCGTTTTGACATTGTTGATAATGACAGCTTCTTCTCGTGGATGCAGGGAAACTTCGATCTGGTGGGAAATAACTTCCCTGTCTTTTTTATTCGTGATGGGATGAAATTCCCAGATATGGTTCATGCTTTGAAACCCAATCCAAAGTCCCACATTCAAGAGAACTGGAGAATAGTCGACTTCTTTTCCCATCATCCAGAGAGCTTGAATATGTTCACTTTCCTCTTTGATGATCTGGGCGTTCCACAGGATTACAGACACATGGAAGGCTCTGGCGTCAACACCTATACTCTAATCAACAAGGCTGGGAAAGCATATTACGTGAAGTTCCACTGGAAGCCAACATGTGGCGTGAAGTGTCTGTTGGAGGACGATGCTATTAAGGTTGGAGGAGCTAATCACAGCCATGCCACCCAGGATCTCTACGATTCAATTGCTGCTGGTAACTATCCAGAATGGAAACTTTTCATTCAGACTATAGATCCTGATCATGAAGATAGATTTGATTTTGACCCACTTGATGTAACCAAGACCTGGCCAGAGGACATCTTGCCCCTGCAGCCAGTGGGTCGCTTGGTATTAAATAAGAACATAGATAACTTCTTTGCGGAGAACGAGCAGCTTGCATTTTGCCCTAGCATTATTGTCCCTGGGATTTACTATTCCGATGATAAGCTGCTCCAAACTCGTATTTTCTCTTATTCCGATACTCAGAGGCACCGTCTGGGACCAAACTATTTGCAGCTTCCAGTTAATGCTCCGAAGTGCACTCATCACAACAACCACCATGATGGATTCATGAATTTCATGCATAGGGATGAGGAGGTACTTTAATGATCCTGTGTTTTATAATACTTCTTTGGAGATCACTTACATTCAGTTTCTTGGTTTCTAACTAACATCCTTGGGTAATTACTAAACGTGCTTTAAGATTTACTATACTGGTATCTTCTTTTCTTATTTATGTGCACTTGAAGAAAAAATATTGGGGACGTAAACACTTTCTAATTGAGTTATTGCCATGAGATTTTTTATCTTGATGCATAGAGAGGGTTGTCTAAACGTGTATGTTTTATGCTCAGTTTTTATCATCATGTTTTAACTTCCAAATGTTTCCCAGGTCAATTATTTTCCGTCAAGGTACGATGCCAGTCGTCATTCTGAGAGGTATCCCATTCCGACTGCTGCATTATCAGGGAAGCGCAACAGGGTATGTATTGATTGTGTTGCTTGAAGTTTCAGTTTATCATGATTCTTAATCCTAGCTTTTTGATGCATGTATAGTACTATACTTACAAACATGGAAGCTGTGAATCTCAATCCTAGCTTTTTAATGCATGTATAGTACTATACGTACTTCCATGTTTGTAACTCATTTCATTCAATGGATGCTTAACCCAAAGAAAGAGTCCCGAGATCTCTATTGGTTGTCATGGCTGTACAAATTGCGATCAATGTATTTACCATGGTGTAGATGTCAAACGGTGAAGTAAGAGAACAAATATTATGAATTTTATCTTTGTAGGAGTAGTTGAAATAAGTGGAGGTGAGTTGGTGCTCTTGCTGGCATTGACGGATGTTTGTTGATACTTTTGGTGTAATAATTTTTGCAGCATCGACGCTCATTCCTCCCCCTTCTCCTGCTGTTTCTTCTCCCTTTGTGGTTATTAAGTACGAGAAGATAAAAGTAAAAATATTTTACTCTGGGAGTTCAGATCTCGCACTTGAAGTGCGTGTTTGCTGGGAGGATTTGATAGCACTAGATAACGTTTAAGGAAGAATATAATAGATAAAATCTTGTTTAGCATAGTGTGTGTATCATAACATGCTATGTGACACCACAGATTTAAAGTTCCACAAGCAACCTTTACAATTGAGTTCCTGAAATGATACATGAATATAATTCCTGGATACATTGATTTGCAGCCGAGATAATTCTTGCGTGAGTTGACTGTAACTTTGTTGATTATTGCAGTGTGTCATTGAAAAGGAGAACAACTTTAAGGAACCAGGAGAGAGATACCGTTCCTGGGCACCAGACAGGTAACTAATCTCTAGTCATTAATCAGCTTAGAAATTTATAAAATGGCTATCATGCATGTTGATTTATCTGTTCGATCCCATTTCTCCTTCAGGCAAGAGAGATTCATCTGCCGGTGGGTAAATGCTTTGTCTGATCCCAGGGTCACCCATGAGATCCGCAGTATCTGGGTTTCATACTGGTCTCAGGTCTGATACCCATACCTTTCTCGCATATTCAGCACTGAGGATTGATAGGACTGAAAAATATTAAATAAGAAGCTAAAATCTTATGCATTATACTATCCAGTCCTTTTTCGTACTTTGTTACCAAGATTTTCTATATTTCTTCTTAAGGTTATGTACTCAGTTTTCAATTTTCATGCTGCAGGCCGACAAATCCCTTGGTCAGAAGCTCGCATCGCGTCTCAATATAAGACCAACAATGTAAAGGCTGTGAGAATACGGGATGTTTTTGGTTGCTGATGGCGGAAAAGTAACATAGACAGGATATGTTGTTCAGAAGTATATAGTCAGTTGTACTTCTTTGATAACTGTATTCTTATATTTAATGAAGAAACTAATGTTGTGTCTTAACCACAATAATAATATATTGAATGTAATCGATGACAATTGTACGTGCAAGTATTGCAGTCGTCCTTTCTCCCCCAAGTCGATCTTTGTCTACTATTTATTTGAAGAATACAATATGGTGATTACTGGTTATTGTCACAGAATCGTTTGAGAAAGAACCTGAAAAAGCATGAATTCGGAAATAAAACTATGCATTTGAAAAGTCGGGTTGTGATTGTGCAGTGACGATGTAGGTTTTTGCTCATAAATTCGTGTTTCTTTTGCTATAATAAGATTGAAAACTTTTGTATATCCTACATAAGAGGGTAAGGAAGGCTTCCATTAGTTGGCTATTTAAGTCTGGTAGATAATGAGGTATATTTGAAGTTTGATAGGGGCTTCAAATGGTAAAGTTTTGAAGCATATAGAGTTTATAGACTATGAGCCTGCTTGGCATGACTTTTCCTTCTACTTTTGCTTGTTGTAGAAGAGGTTTTGGAGAAAGTTACTTCAATTTTCGTTTGGAAACTAATTTTGAAAATCATTTTCTATTCCGAAAGTATTTTTGGAGAAAGTCATATTGAATCAATTTCCTCTAAAAAAATTTCTAACTATTAAAATTATTTTCATAAAATTAAACAAAATGGTTAAAAAATAGCTTTTGGATTTTAAACGCTCCTTTCGACTTTTCAAAAGTCATACAAAATTGGACCTACATTGATCTTTAAATTGACATGTTGCTTGACATTTTGTGTTTGGTAGTTGACATAGCCATTGATTAATGCTCTCTCTGTCCCATAAAAATATATTTAATTTTCCTTCTCAATTGTCCCAAATTATGTTACTTTCCTTATTGAGAGTATAGTTGATTTATTAATATTCTAATGTGTTCTTATTTAACGTGTTTTATTATCAACGAATATGACTTATTTATATTTATATTATTAGTAATGTAGGGGTACATTAGAAAAAAAGTAAGTAAAATTTATTACTTCAACTATATTAATTACAGTTTTCCAATCTAAGTGAAAATGGAAGCAAGTCCATCATCGTGGGATGAAGGGAGTATTTGGCATTTGATATAGTCAAGAAACAATAATTCAAAATGGTTTCGTACTACCACTCTCGAGGTTTCAGAATTCATTTACTAGTAAAAATTGAAGTCGAATAACTGCGGGAATAACACTTTGAGAGATCAATGATGCTTGCTTAACAACGATAGCATCATTGAATTTTATCAAATTATAACATCAGGGATCAATGGATAGAAATGATGGTTTGCGGTATCAAATTATAATTAAGGGAGAAAATGTCAAAAAAATAAAAGGTATGAAGGTTTTTCGCAATAGTAGTGAAATGTATGGACATTATGTGCTAATTACCTTTTTAGTAATTTATTTGAGATTCATTTACGCTTTTCAAACAAGTTGGGATTATGTTTGCAATTAGTTTTTTTCTTTTTTCCTTTTGTTTTATTTAAAGGGGATGATACTTTCGTCATTTCACAATTTTTAATTGAGAAAATGGATAAAAATGACCTTTTGCGCAATGAAAGGTGGAAATAATGGTGAAAATGTCAAAAAATGAAAGGTATAGATGTTTTTCCACAATAACAGTGAAATGTGAAGACATTATGTGCTAATTACCTATATATATATATATATAGAGAGAGAGAGAGAGAGAGAGAGATGCTCATCATTTGATTATGTTCGATATTATAAGATAACTTTGACTAAACAAATTATCTACAATAACTTTAGGATACATGGCACCAATTACCAATTTTCGAAAGGCGTGATTAGCAAAAAAGGTCCCTACATTTTAATATAATTGCGCAAAACGTTCCCACCTTACATTTTGTGATATTTGTACCTCTATTTACTCCTTTTATTGCAAAAATTATCCTTCTATCAATTTACTGTTAACTGAATACCTGTACTCAATTTTCTTTTCAAATATGAGGGATAAAATTACCTAACACATTTTTGGTACTTTTTTTTTTTCTAAAGAGAAGCACGGTTAGCTTTCTTTTAAAAACTCCCATATTTCTTCACTTCCGTTTCACAATCATCCCTTCCTCTTCAATCATCTCATCTCTCGTCACACATCTCTACACGCAATGAAGGGTAAAAGCGAGCGAAGGTAAATTTTTTGTCTGCATTGGGTTGATTTTTTATTTTTTTTCCCATGTGTTCGTGTTTTAGGTGATTGAGGGTAAAATAATCTTTTCATGATATTTATTGTTGTTTCACATGTATATTCCATGAGCAAAATGCTTCATCCATTCTTGAGAGATGAGAGTGTGGTTTACTCATGAGTTATATACTATTTTAATTTAATTATTGATTAGATCTGTATTGAATGTTTTTAATGTGTTTATTAGTATTGTTTTATAAGTTTGGTGAGGTGGAGTTAATGATGGTAAAAGCAGAGAAAACAAATGACTTGGAATCAAAAGAAGATAAAAGAGGAACAAAAGGCAAGAGAGTAAATTTCTTACATCAAATGAAGAGAAAAAGAGATCATGGATCGAGAAAGTCACGCACAACAAGGTAGACAGAAGTGTGGCGCCTCGACGCCATTGAAGAACCATCAAACCTAAAAGTTGTTCGTTGCCGGGGATTATTTACATTTAGTCTTCATTTATTTTATTTTTTACCGTTATTTGATTAGTTTATTTTTCTTCTATTTACTGATAAAATGTGTTTGTTATATGCTCCGCTCCTAAGGTGATAATTTACAATCATTTGATCCGAACATAGAGCGCACCTTCAGACAGAGACTCAAAGAACACCAAAAAAAATAAATTAATCAGATGGTTGACTTTCAAAACATCCATATTCCTATATAGCCAATTGGACAAGTTTTCGAGAGAGCAATGGTACAACAAAATTAGCAAAATGAGTGAGTGGAGATAAATGAAGGAGACTTGCTAGTCTCTATAGTCCTGAAGCCTGTAGAAGCGCCGACATGCTCCAGTATTGTATGTCCAGATTTTGGGGTAAATAATTTTTAGATAATGGTGGATTGGATCAATTTGACTAGCAATACTTTCCAATTTTATGGGATACCTCATGAAAATCCAAACACACATTCTCTAGATTTTTCAGAAATCATGAGAACTTCCATGCTTCAGGAGTTAATGAAGATGCTATCAAACCTCGTTTATTTCTTTGCACATTGAGGGATGCATCTTTCGAGTGATTAGATGTTGAACCTCATGGAAGCATTACTCAGTGGAAGAAACTAACTAAAAAAATTATGCAATAAATTCTTACTACTGGCGAAAGTAGTAAAAATCTGACTAGAATCTCAAACATTCTAGCAAAGAGATGGGATCAAATTCAAGGAGCTAATGAGAAAATGTCCAAAGCATGAAATTACCGTAGGTAATCAAGTGCAATACTCCTACACCAGACTTTCACCATTATCAAAATCTTAGGTGGATTTCTTTGGTATGGATCAATCATGGCAAATCAGTTCAACAATGTCTACTTAGTCGAATTAATTACCATTACACATTCAATGTTCTCATCTAAAAGACTAGTACCATAAATTAGACAACACACCATCACAAATACCTGCTTTGACAAAACAGATGGAGTAACTGGTGAAATCACAAACATAAAGAGAACATATAGTGATGGCTAGTCTATTATGTACAAATTGTGGAGCCAATAATCCCACAGAAAATTGCTTATCTATGGGTTTTCCTGAAGAATAGGTAAATTTCATTCAAAATGGTTCCCGTAAATTCAATCCATATGGACAAACATACAACCCAGGATGGAGGCATTACCCGAACTTCAGATGGTCTGATAATCAGCAAAGGAATAGTTCAAATGATGTTCAGCAAGAAAAAAAAAGTTTGGGGAGATGTTCAATCAGTACATGCAAAAAACAGATAAGGTGTTCCAACAAACTGATACAAACTTTCATAATCAGTAAGCATCTATCAAGAAGTTGGAGACACAAATTGGTTAGATAGCACAACAGCTTGCAGAACATCTACAAGGAACATTAACAGGCAGTACAATGATCAATCCAAAAGAGTAAGTGTAAGCTATTACAATCAGAAATAGAGTACCACTGTTAGAGATACATGTAAAGAGGCCAGATAGAAAATAAAAAGAGGTAGAAATTGAAGTTGAAGAAGCTAATAAGAAAAATCTGAACCAATCACAGTGGATGAGGAAGAGAGAAAGGAAGCACCACCAATAAGAGCACAAAGTCCAATCAAGGATTACGTGCCACCAATTCCTTTCTCTCAATAGTTGTAGAAAAAGAAGTTACACAAGCAGTTTGCTAAGTTAGTAGAGGTTTTCAAGAAATTACATATCAACATCCCATTCGTAGATGCATTAGCATAAATGCCCAGCTATGCCAATTTTTGAAGGAAATTCTTTCCAACAAGATAAGCAGGAAGAACATGAGACGGTCTGTCTGAATGAGGGATGCAGTGCAATTCTCCTGAAGAAGCTACCTCTTAAATTAAAGAACTCATGGAATTTTACTATACCTTACACTATTGGTTCTAATTATTTTGAGCATTCCTTATGTGATTTAAGTATTAGTGTTAATTTAATATCACTCTCTATTTACGGATCTCTTGAATTGGGAGTAGTAAAACCAACAACAATAGCTTTGTAGCTGATAGATAGGTCCATTAAAAGACCAAAGGGAATAATTGAAGATGTGCTAATCAAGGTTGATAAATTCATCTTCTTGACGAATTTCATTATCTTGGACATGGAAGATAATTCGAATATTTCTAATCTTGGGAAGACCTTTCTTACCTACGGAAGAACACTTATTAATGTATATGATGGAAAGATGATTCTTTAAGTGGATAATGAGCATGTCATATTCAATGTGTTC